TTTTGCAATAGGCACCCAATTCCCCCGAAACGAGAGTGACAGTTAGCAGGGTTGAGCTGGGATTTTTGCAAGAGTCACCAAACTCCTCGGGAAATTCAGTGAGAGCTGAGAGTTTTGATCCCTCCCATGAAAGTTGATAGGAAATTAATATGCATTTCAGGGGGGGGAGTAGTCGGTCTTGGGTGCCACGCTCCCATAAGCTCTGTTGAAAGTCGCAGCCTTAAATGGTAATATTCTGATATTTTGAACATGTGAGGTTGGGTATTTTTTTTCTAACTCTTAAAAATGTATTAGTTATAATTTTCTTCTGCTTTTCAGTCCCTACGAGATAAAAGGAGTCTGGCTTTACGAGCAGCAAGATTTACCAAAATAGCCTCAGAGAAATTTTAACCCATTTTCTAAAATATTTCCAAATTATTTTCTAGTTTTTCTTCCTGTAAAGCATGTGCTACACGGGCGGTGTGACTACATTCAGCTGACTCAACCGACTGCATTCAGTTCCGCATCTGTCCGGGCCGGTGCAGGTCTGTCTGCAGCCAGTGTCAGCCCAACACTATTGATTACCTTCGCAGCAACCTCACTAACAGCCGCAACTCGAACAAAAGCCACAATTAACACGCAGAGGAGCCTACAGAAATACGCTGAAGGATACACACAGCCATAAAACACATGCCAGCATAGTACACCATGGCCCTTTAGTGGCACGCTGTGCTTTCATTAGGGTGTGTCAAAATATTAAAAGCAGGACAATAAAGAAGACAATGTTATTGTAATAAACCATGGGTCATCCTTTTCTAAAGCAAAAGTTTAATTGCTGTAGAGACAAGGACTGGGTTTTATTATGTTTTTTGTCTGGTGTCTATCTCAATGGCCTCTTTATATACTATTGGAATAGCAATAAATAACAGGAGCCTTTAAGTGTTGCCACAGTGTTAATATTTACAACTAGAAAGAGGCGTTGATGAACAGATCTTTACTGCTCGTTTTCTGTTGGAGCCCTGCTCCCTAAGACACGCTGCTCTCTCATTCTCCCCACCCACTGCATTTAAACTAACAAACCAGGTTTCCTTCATGTCAGCTCCCTCCATCCCAAGAGCTTTGATCACCCGAGGGAACGTGCCAGAGCTGGCTCAAACGCAGCGTTCTCATTCTAGGGGAAATGCTGGTATATCAAGCTTATTTTTGTTGTGTAGCTGAATGACAGCAAACAATTTCAGTTGCTTTAGATTTCCCAGAAAACGAAAACTGTGGCCAGGAGAGCTTATTTAGATTAAATGTAACACATCATTTATATTTTGCCTTTTTTTGTTTTTTAAAAAGGCTTTTGAACTGTTTTCTAAGAAATACAAAATAAACCTGGAAGAAAATATTCCTTGGACACGAAAACATCGAAGCTGCTTCTTGTGGCCACAATCAAACAAAACTCATTGGCATTTTGCTTTTGTACTTTGAAACAAAATTCACTGAAATGAACACAAACCCACTAAATATTCACATTTTTTATAAAAACGGCATTTCTGGTGGAAAAACAAAATCCTTCGTTGACTGGTTGAAGCTACCAGGGAGAAGCGCAATGTCTTAGCGCTGTTTCTCATCTCGCCGTTACCAATTTTCCTGCCAGCTATTCTGTGGGCATCAGCCGTGTCAGCCTGGGTCACTGCGGAAACCTGGGAACGGTAACTCTACTCTGTAAGACGCTCGTGAACTGAGCCAGTGGAGTAACAATACTCCGCTATGGATTATACCTATGTATTTGTAGCAGATTGGGTAGCGTCAGTCAGCAGAGCCATCCCTAACACCATTCACAGCAGCAGGGCCGGGCCCGCTCAGATCATGTTCTTCTGTATTTTAGGAAACCCCCCTTGCCTTGCTTGTTATTCCCAGGTCTGAAAAACACAAAGAGCAGTCCATGGGCAGTGCTGTTCAGAGCCAGCAGGAGGTGCTCCTATAGCAAGAAAATCTGCCCAACAGAATTAATCGTTGGTACGAGACACCAAATTTCTCTCCCAAAATAATTAAACAAACGCTTGGCATACACAAAAAGAGGGCTTCAGTATAGCAGGGGAAGTGGTTTAAGCTTTTGTACTGCAGAAACCTAGAGATGCAAGATTTCCCTCATTTTTCATCAAGCACATTGCAAAAAGAGGACAAAAATAAATGAAAATATGTTATTTGGTCCTAGTAGACTTGCAATTTATGAATTTCTTTTACAAATGCCCATAGAATATTCCATTTTTATCCTCCCAAGTCACTGGGAATAACACATCAAAGAGCATGTTTGCATTTCTATAATAGATAACAGCATTGACATAAGCTGCAGGGTTCATACAAACTATAAACTGAATTAACAATCTCCTATCTCACATATTTATAAACTGTAAGTTGAGCCTGGAGAAAAAAACCCAACTCCAGGTGCAATAATTATTCTGGAGCTTTAAAAGAGTCACTTTTTTTCTGAGCTAAAATCTGAATGCCAGTGGACAACGAATTACCATTTTGGTGTGCACCAGCCTCTGCTTGAGCAGCACGAGCAGGACAACAACCTGGACTCTGCCGGTCACGACAGCGGCAATGTTGGCACCTTCATTTGAACGAGAGGTTTTTGCAACTGAGTGCTTATACGTAAATGAAAACAGTCACATTTCCTTATAGACATTCTCCTTATATGAATAAACTAGGAAGCTATGGGGGGGGGGAGGCATTTCTGAAGGCATCTTACAGCCACCTTTGATACCCAAGTGTCCCACAAGCCAGGGGACCACACGTAGGAGGCCAGGGAGGGCGTATCGGGCAGGCTCTGCTGTCCCACAGTTTCCCTGGGACAACGGGTAGCCCAGCGGTACGTCCAGCAGCCCGAAGCTGCCCCGCCATCGCATCAAGGGCCACATGGGAAAGTCGGCAAAGGCTGCCTTTCTCCCATCACCAGGTGCTGGGGCGAGCATGACTCACCTCAGCCCCAGGGCCGAGACCACGGCTCTTGTGTAAGGCACGCTTAAGCAAAACACAATGTCTGGGGACAACACAAGTCACTCGCACAGCAGCTCCCTATACAGCCACATTGAGCTTCTGTCCACTATATCGTCAAAAAGAAAAATGAGGCAAAAAGGAAAACACTGATTAAAAAGAAAAAGTTACTGTGCTGTCTCATGCAGTTACTTTAAAAGAGAAATCAAAACCCTTAAGCCAGCAACACTTCTAGGACACAAATACCGGTCTGAGCCTTCAGCTCCCAGTCACTCCTCCCCAAAACACTCGCTTCTGCTGTTGCTACTATTTAACATGTACAAAAAGAAAAAAAAAAGAATAAGTGCTAGAGGAAACTAGTGGTATTTGAGACAGGATGTTCTTTTCTGGTCATTTTACAAAGAACAACTGGATCTAAGATGGACACATTTGTTGCTACACCTCAGGCAAGAACAATACACCCAACATCTAACGCGAACTGCTCAGGAGGACACAAGAGTGCTTGAGCATGGAACATGTAACAGCCTTTAGGCCCTTAAGACATACAAAATTAGACATCCCTAATCTCTATGGCTTTGTTTCGAGAATTCAGACCTGTCCTCTTGAGGTCCTTAAGGAACGACTTTGTCAGAAATAGCTGCTGTTTTTCACCTCGAAGACTTGACATTGTATCAGCCCCGCAGAAACGATCATCTTCCTTGCACCGTCCCCTGCTGTACTATTAGAACATCGGAAATCCATTAAATCCTACATTATTAACCTACAGATTTTGCCACTGAAATCACTAAATATTTTTATTTCAGCTGTAGGACGAAAAAACTTCTCTCTAACATGTTGCTGGCTTACTAAGCCTAAATTTAAGAGCCTTCTCCTGACAGGCTTGGCTACTTCCAAGCTGGACCCAACGCCACACGCCCAACGCTTTGCAGCTCGGTGACAAAACCAGCCTATAAAACGACTTTTTGGAGACTCTCTCGGCCTTGTAAGCCTGATCAGTTCCTGCTGCCTTAGCACATGCGCAGCAATGAGCACAAAGTTGGCCTTCGGATTTGAGGCGAGACCAGCAAAAGGATTCCCATGACAAGGGCGGCATTCACCAGGCCTGCCAGCGCCGCATGGTTTCTTTAATTCAGCAAACACTCGGCCGTGGCGGCAGCGAAAGGCAAAGCAACGTAGGCAGAAATATTAAGGTAGAAGTGTGGAGAAACTTTCAGCTGGCTGGACCCTGCCTAGATTCAAAGGCAAATTGTGGAGGGGGAACAAGGGAGTGGGGTTTTTTGTTGTTGTTTCTGGGTTGTTTTTCCAAAGCAGAGGTCTGCTTTTGTGCTGCAAGCGGCAGAAACACGAGCATTAAGCGATGAAGGCTCGGCAGCTTCCAGGATACAGGGACGGATTCAGCTTGCCCTCTTCAACTTTTCTTCAAAGTGCTGTTTTATCTTTCTTTTTGGAGACGTTACAGAAGGGGACCAATACATTAGAGAGACGCATGTTCAGCTGTCTGACAAACAGCGAAGCACCACTGAAAAGACACTCAAAAAGGCAGCGAGAAGTACTTGACTCTTGAATAGGGTAGTTCTTAAAAAATTGGACGGTGTAAGAGGAAGAGGAAAAACGGTTCCAGCAGAATATGCAATAGCACTTCAAAATGGAAGTTTACAAACAAGAGCCCCTTTGTTCAGCAGTGCCGTTACGTTTCGGCTTTTTTGTTCGTTTCTGGCTCCAGCTTGCCTCAAAAGAAGCTAAAAATAAATCTTGCCCCAAAATCGTGCTGAAAAAAATATTTTTAGGTTAAAGTATGCAAGAAAGCACCCGAAGCTGGTGAGATGGATATGTTTGACCAACCCGCCTCGTAAAGGACATCAGAGCTGGCTATCGGCAGATCTGTCTATGCATTGGGAAGCACCCAACGCTGCCCCAAAACTGAGGCTGACCAACAACACGGGGGCACGGTTGTTGAGCATTCGCAATATCGGCACAATATTCGCAATATCTGCACATATCACTCTTAATGTAAGGTGTCTTATTTTTACCTCCAGATGACTTGTGCCGTTTGTGCTTGCGCTACTCCATAGCCATCGCAGCAGAAAGAGCTGCTGGGGCCGGCTCCTACGAGGTTTGAAGGACGAAGGGCTCCACAGCGCAGCGCTTGCTGCGAGGCTGCTCCGTCTTCATCCTCAGCCCTTCCCGGGACAGTGTCATCAAAGCCTGTCCTCTCTCCTGCCACACCATGAAGAACATATATTTAGGCAGCAGTCAGCAGGGGTGGGTTTCTCAGACAGCAGCCGGACTCGGGGTTGAGTGAGCAGTTGCAGGGCCTCCTAAAAGCTTAGTTTGGGTGAGGGATTTGCATCAAAAGGCCCTAAAAACTTAGTTGCCCTTCTTGCACTTTGTTGGGGGGGGGGGGTGTGCAAACGAAGTAAATGAATAAAACTCCAGAGTTCCTGCCAATAAAGGCTTCCTATTGCAGCAACGTCTCTGCACAGCCAGGCTTGCTCACCGCTACTAAACAGACGGAGGATCACTTCGAGAAACTCTTTGGGGTGAATGAAGCAAGTGTGGTCAACTGCACGGCCCAGCCGCCCGGCACAACAGGTTTTCTTTGCCCAGAAGAAAACCTTCCGCTTGAAAGGAAAGGTGCAGCAAACCTCCCCTCCCCTCCCCTCCCCTCTGCTACTTCCTTCCTACCACATAGTAAACGGGTATTTGCACCTGCAAGGTGCAAAGGCTCCCTCACAGGATGCAGAAACTCCTCTGGGGCAGAGACCTGCCCTCAGGAGAAGACGGCGGGCAGAGCCGAGGCCGCCAGGCGTCTCTGTGAGCCTCGCGGGGCAGCGGGCTGGGAGACCGTCCTGCCCCCACATCAGAGCTGCGCTTGGACACGTCGCATCAAACCCACAAGCGCGGGTCAAGGATGCATCGGAAATAAAACCAGTTCATTGCAAGCCTGCACAAGAGCTTGCCTAAAGCCACTGACCCAAACCCCACTAAGAGCTGCTTTGCATCTTTCCCGTGAATCCACCTCCACAGTCTCCCGGAGCTATTTTTCCGAACATCTGTAACAGTTCCTAAAACATCGCCACCGTTTTACATCTACGTACAAAAACTCCTGATGCGTTGGGTTTTAGTGAGCCACAAACTACCTTAAAAATGCAACATAAATTTAAACAATTAACGATTCACAGCTCCCAGCAGGGAATCCGGTAATTAATATATGGCTTAATCTACAACTTCTGCTATCCTTATACCACGCGAGCACTTTGGCCTGCAGCCCCTTTGTTTTAATTGCTCTCACGAAAGATAGAGCTCGTCTAACGCAAAATAATCTGGCGAATTCTGCGCCTGTATCAGGGCTGATGGGTTTTTGTAAGAGGAAAAAGAAACAGCTCGACATACTGAGGTATTTGCTTCCATTCAAGGGAAAACAGAAAGGTTTGCCAAAAGTCAAAAAAATATAGTAATGATGAAATTACATCCTATTAAAACCTAATTTTTCTATTTATTGCAGATTATTTTTGTTACGGTGAGCATTTCATGGACGATCTTTTGTTGACATATAATTTGGAGGCACAACCTGTTTGCATGCCAAATGTTACCTTCTTTAAAGGGATATAAATACCATGCAATTCTTACGGTCTTTCTTGCATAAAGTTTTTGGGGTTTTTTTTGAATGAAACACTATTCAGATGCTTCATGCCCAGCAAACATAAATAAGTGTTATCAAAGGTAGCTCTGGATGAGAAAGAGGTCTGAAAGACTGAATTCCTTGAGGGAGAAACAAATGAAAAAGGGACGATTTTGTGTATTTCATTATCAATGCCATAGTGGCATATGCACATCAGCTGGTACTAATCTTGGTGATAGCTTGAGGCTAGTGACTGATGGCATGCTGTAAATTCAAATTCTGAAGAAGAAAATAAAAAAAAAGGTGATCCTCTTGATCAATATATTAAACCTCAATTTAAGTTAGACCGAATTGCAGACATTGGACTTCTACATCGCAAAAAGTGCTTGGACCAGTTACTGCAGTCTTCATTTTTCCACTCTGCACTCCTCTGCCGCGTTACCTGCCTTGCGCAAGGAGAGGACGTCCTGCAATTGCAGCTTTGGGGACCTTTTAAGCCAGAGGCTGTATCCGGACCATCGTGTTTGACAGCTGAAATGAATTGCCCAGTCCTTTCCCCGAATCCATTTATAATTTTGGCCTCCATAACGTTGCACGGCAAGGCGCTTCACAATTTAATTACGCATTGTGTAAAAAGGGACTGAACTTACTAAAAGTTATCCAAGCCAAGAAGAGTACTATTAGCTAGGGTCCCCTGTTTCGCCGAAAAGCCTTGCTTGGTGGGAAAGAAAGGCTGGTTTTGTTGCCGAAGGTTTACCCAGCCATGCAAGTGGTGCTGTTACTCTTGCTTTTGACCAGTACAAAGTAGGAGAGAGGAGGTAAGGTGAAAATAGGAGAGAAAGCACAGCTTTCTGTTGAGCCGCGAAGACAGCTGGTCGGTCCCAGACGGACAGCTCACCCAGGCAGAGGAGAAACAGCGGCTCGTCTGGCCGGTCCCAGCACATCCCCGTCCCAGGCCGGGCAGTTTTTCTTCCTGCAGGGCTGGTTTCTATGGGCGTCGAGCACCCACATTCCCAGTTTCGAGCTGAAACAGCGCGTTTTCCTAGGACAACGGATAACACCTAGGCCGAGCAGAGCCCAGCCGAGCTATAGGCAAAGTGGCCGGCTGCAACTCAGATCACCTGGCTCTTTTTTAAGAGGTAAGGTGGCGTCACGGCCGCCCCGGCGCACCGCAGCTCTTCGCGTTCCCCTCGCCACCAGGACGGGGAGGTTTGGATCGCTACCAGACCCGCAGCCATGAAGCCCGGATGCTGAGATAACGAGGGCCCAAACAC